AATTTGTATTGTTCGGGAGTGGTTTTCCTGAACTGTTGTTGCTGTAGACTGTTTTGTTCGGTAGATTTTGATCTTTTTTCATGTATTGGTAGAATGATTTATTTGGTTCTTTATATTTTTGAGGTTTATTTTGATTGTCTTGCTGTTTTTGTCTACATTCAGAAATACTATGTCCGTATCGTCGGCAATAATTACACCATTTTTTGAAAGATGGTTTGCCTTTAAAGTTTGGGTGTTTTTCGTAAATATTGAGTATTTCAGTGATTTTTTCAACGAGGTCTGTATCTGATTCCTGTATATTGTTTATATTTGTGGAAACTGTTTCAATTCTGTTAACGTATTGTAATTTCAGATTTTCCGTTTCTTCGAGTTTCATTGTGATTTCTGCTTGTTCTAGTTTGTCTACTAGTTTTCGAAAATCTAAATCGGGTTCTCGAATTGACGAAGGATGGGATGCTCTCTTTTTTATTGCTATTTTCCTTAATTGTGGTGTTAAGGTCATCATTAAGATTTCTGTCCTCTTTGTGTTTTTATAGTCATGTGTATTTAATGAATATGCTTTTCGAACTAGTGTTTCGATTCGTACTGCTAATTGCTTGATGGTTTCGTTTGGTAATCTGCGAATTTCATTACATAAAACTCTTTGTTGTTGTTTGTTTCTTTCGGAGTCAAACATTTTTGAAAATTCTTGTGTAAACCTTTTCCAATTTGATTTTATTTCTATAGGCAATACTGAAAACCATTTTTGGGCTGCGCCATCTAGAGTTGTTTGTATTAACGCTGTGCGTCGATGTATCCAGTTTTGATGTAGTGGCGTACTAATTGGTTCAGGTCCTATATTTAAAATCAAATTTGCTGTGACTGCATTTAAATAGTCTTCTACAGAATATTCAGGGTCTGTTCCTGTGAATACCATTAAAGGTTTATTTGATGTTATTGATGATCCACCCATAAGGTATGGATTCATCGTCATTTGTAATGATTCTGCTGCATTTGGCATTTGAGAAAAATTTGAAAGTTGATTTCTTGTTATTTCGTGTTGTTGAAGATAATATGGGAGTGGTATTTCATTTTGCATTTGTGCTGGTTGGTACGAGTTTGCAATCATTGGGTTTTGTTGCTGAATTGGTTGAAAAGATTGTGTATTAATTGGGTTTTGTTGTTGAATTGGTTGTTGGTTTTGTGTATCTATTGGTTGTGGAGAAAAAATTCTATTATATGTATGTGGTTTCTGTATTCCTTGTCCACGATATTCTTGATTATAGGGTGTAAATATATCTGGTTGTAAGAAATCATCATCTGAGGATAAGTAATCCATTTGATAAGATGTTTGTTTTTTATTTTTATTTTGTTGAAAAAATGGATAGTTTTCACTACGATCCTGTGGAGGATGTAAATTTGTTTGGAAATTTACTGAATTAGGTGGTGCCATTGGGTTATCCCAGTTTCGAGATCTTGTATAATTACTAAAATTTTTTCGTGGTTGATAATTTGTTTTTGATGGATGTGTGTAATTATAATTATGGTCTGCAAAGTTGTTTCTAGTGAACGTTTTGCGTGTTTTTGGCGGTATTGTCATGGGTCTGTATGTTTGGTAATCCATGTGTGAATATTTTGGGGCAACCGAAGGTTTAACGGTTGACTGTAATGTTACCTGTGTTTGTGAAGGATTTGTATTTCTTGGTGTTGTTAAGTTTGGACGTATTGGTGAAATACTTTGTTGTGTAGTTGTTGTGTGTACGATTTCTTCATTTATGAAGTGTGATGGTGTCTGGATATCTTGTTGAGTAAGATTCCTAGTTCCATTGAGGTTTTCATTGTGTATGACTGTAGAGTTTAAACTATTATTTTGCATATCGGGTAAAAATGTATTATAGTTTAATGGTGTTGCATCAATGGTTAATGGTATTACTCGTACATAATCTCTTACATAAGATATCGTACTTATTGCTTGACTTGAGATTTATTGTGGGAAGTTTATGGATGCGGGATGAGACCATTCGGGGTCCCAAACATAGTCTGATTGTTCTGTGATGGCAGTATCATCGTTTGAGTTTTGGGGTCTAAAATTTTTTCTTGCTTGTGAAATTAAATCAATATTATGTGAAATAATCTATTATGAACCATGCCAAGATTTTTTGTAAGTCGTGTTTTGTATGTTGTGAAACTTCATCTTTCGTGAAATTTTCTTTAATTATATTTAGAAAACTAGAGAGTAGTGTGATTTCATGTCGTACTCTTATATGTTTAGATGTTTCTGTCGGTGAGACATTTGGTATCTGGATTTCGTTTTCTAATATCGAGATATAACTATATATTATCGAAAAAAATTCATTGGTGAATATGGAGTTTGCTCTTTGTGAGTTATGATATTGGATGCTTTTTATATATTCTGAGAATACTTTTGAGAATTCTAAATCAAGGTCGTCTGTTTGAATTATATATTTACTGTGGTTCTGGTTTGGTGAGCTGAATTCTATGGAGTAGATTCCGTATTGTTGTGTTAGGTTACATATATCTTTTAGATAGTGATCGATAATTTGTCTTTTGATTTTTACATCTGGGAACTCTGTTTTACATGGACTGATTCCGGGTTCAAACAAATTTAAGAGTAAATTTTTGCAGAATATATGCTGTCCTCTATCAGTGGTTGCATCTACGATAAAGAGGAAAATATCATCATCATCTGGACTTTCTTCACCTGGGGTGTGCGTTGAGCTCATTTTTTCGTTCGATGACTGTTAATATGTAATTATCAATGTGTCTAATTGGTTGATTCCAATTGTATAAATGTACTGGTTTGTGTTTATACTGCTTTTTTATTCTTCTTTTTCCTCTTTTTGATGAATTTGAAGTTGTTTCTGAGTCAGAGAAATATAATTGATCGTGAATTGGGCAATTTTTATCTATTGATTCTTTTAGTTTATAAAGTTCGTCTAAACTGTTGGTTTCTGATTCTGAAAATGCGTTTCGATTTTTTGAAAATCTTTTTCGTGTTATTTGTCTTTGTTTAGTTACTATTTTTCTCTTTAATGTTTGTCGTTTTGTTCTAATGTATCCAACTGTTTGTGTATGAGGTGTGATTACAAGGTCGTATTTTTTATTATCTATTTCACAATTGTGTAAAACGATTGTTTGTTTATTTCCTAGGTTTTTAAATGACATAAGGTTTAGGATGACGGATGCAAAAGGTTGTTAAATGATTTCTATTTGCTTAAACTGTTAGTCCTTACGATTTTTTTGTTAGCCTAACCTGGGTCTATTTGTTCAGGGTTGGGGAGAAAAGTATATCGATTCCGAAGAATGATTTTATACTTTCTCGTGGATAGTATAAGCTAAGGTGTTAACTTACTTAATCTTACTTAAGGGTAGTGATTGTGTTCAGGGTTGGAGAATAGTAAATCGATCCACAAGGTTCAGGTATAATTAGAACGCGAGTAGTTCGTTAGATACTATTTTAAACTTAATAAGTTTAAGATTTATCCTGGGTCTGGTAAGAGGGGGGATCAAGTGAAGGATGAATAACCGAAGTTCTTCACTGTTTATGCTAATTTGAATGATTAGTTTTGTTCAAAAATTTCTATTAGTCCTGGGTTTTTAGAAAGGGTTGGATAGTGAATCGACGTTTGAGGTCGTTAGACACTAGTTAAGTGGGTGGGGGAGAACAAAGTTGTTCTTTTTGATCCAAGGATAGGCCTTGATGATCAAGTTTTAAATTTAATTAAATAGAAAATGATTTAAGATCCAAGGATAAGCCTTGATGATCTGATTTTAAAATTAAGTGAATTTAAGTTTAAAATGTTTTAAATTTGTGTAAAGAATAGATTTAGTATTTTTATGATATTAGTGAGCTTATGAATGCTGTTATGTTTAGGCGATGAAGCTGGAACAACAGGATGATTTATAATTACTAACCGTTTATTGTCATGCTACTAATTTTTATTTTGATTTTTCAATAAATATTTTTCAAACATGTTTTGTATATTACTGCAGAATTTAGGAAAACGATCTGAGATCTTTTTATCAATCGTTATTGTATATTAATAATTTTGTTTAGCGCCTGAAATGATTTTGAAGATTGACTTCAAAATTTTATGTTTGCAAATGAAAATCTAAATTCATTGCTATTAGTATTCTAAATACAAAAGTTTGTTCTGGCTTTTGCCGAACTATCATATAACTATATGGTAAGTTTCTGCTTTGTCGTATGTCGTCTCTGGTTCGAGGTCTTCTTCCAATTCCGGGTAGTTCTGTTATCGTTCGGAATATTGGCTCTGATCTATTGAGTCGTAGAGACATTTCGATTAAATTATTGTCGTATAACATTTTGTAGATGTTTTGTCTAAATTCTAATCTATTATTGGTTAATTCTAAGCTATTAAGGTCTTGTTCGAGACTTATGGTCGCACCAGATGAGTTATGACCGATGGGTATAACTCATAGAGTAATTTCGGATAGGGTACACCGTCTGCTCGTCACGCTATCTTATTTTCGGCCGGATAGGTTCGTGCAACTTCTTAGTCTAATACCGATCCTAATCTTACTCTTATACTGTCTAGTCTCAGGTTGTTTAACTAGTCTCTGCTAGGCTCAATAGATCTAGGGTATACTGGTTTATTGCGGCTGCTGAAGTACTCGGGAGAGTTCAACTAATTTCTAAGTTAAATTCAAATCTCTCTGGTGCTGAAATTACAAGTAATTTCAGCACTTACAAATAAGTGGATTGTTAGTTAGATGGATCATGATTGGTTAATATTAAATACTTTACATTGGTAAAATATCTAATTTATCCAATCATAAAATGTAGTTTAGATCAGGTTCCAGCATCTAACTAGAAAGATGATTCTAATTCGAATAGTGACAGATTTTTGTTTGAATTATCCAAAATAATCTTCAAATCAACAGTTGCGAAGCTATTTGTATCAAATTTACTTCTGTGCAGAAGTAATTTCATCAGTCTCTTCAGTGTCAGGATCATAACTCTGTTCCTGTTATTTTAGACATACATAGGCAGTATCCTTTTGTCAGTCAATCCCTACAGACTCATCAAAGACATGTACGGCAACAGAGCTATTGAGAGATACAGAGACAAAGTACTCGGAGACCAAGCACCGTGAGTACAAAGCTTCAGACAAAAGTAGTTTTTATTGTAGAGTCATCTATCTTTTCTGTAGTTTTTATAGTGCGTTCAATAAGGCGAGGTTTTACCATTTCAATTCATAAATTTTTATTCGGAGTACGAAGCTTCAGACAAAAGTAGTGTTCTCGTAGAGCTATCGATCTTTTCTGTAGTTGGATCGGGTCTCTTCTGTTATGCGTCCCAAAATGTATCCTATTGTTGTTTTGAAAATTGAATCAATGCTGGGACCTGATTGGCTGAATTGAATTCCAGCGCAAGAAAATGTGAATTTAAAAAAGCTATATTAACCTTTGGTATTTTTGTGCCGTATGATATAGTGAATTCAATCAGGCGAGATGTTTACACTAGCGTGGTTGCAAGCGTAGGTGTATTAGTGCAGGGGACCGACCGTTTAGCTGACCAATCATTTAGCATAAAAATTGCAAAATGAGTGTTTTAGCAGACGAACGTAATAAACTGATGCATGATTGATTGAGACTCAAAAAGACACTCCAGTCTTTGGTCAAGCTTCCCCTATTAAGACAATTATCTCACGATATGTCAACAAAGCTCAACTTCAGAAACACAACAGTCTAAATTAGCGGCAAAACAAAGGTTTACGCGCGCAATATAATAACACTCGTACCGAATGGAAAAGAACGGAGCAAGCGGTCGCTTGTCGCCAATGCCACGTTTGAAGCTAGCTTTCTGACTTGCTAATTGTTTTCAGTCTGCTAAAATATTGGTCTGATAAAAAACCGGTCTGCTAAAATCCCTAGAGCCATTAGCACGAACCTTTTTTTCTTTTCTAACCTAACTTGCAAGTAAAAGTGTTCATTTATTTGTTCACGCGCTATAATCACGATCTGTAGCATTGGAACTTTTATAGCATCTGTTATCTGATTTATTTGTGGCAGTGTTTGTTATGTATTAAGCGTCCGTGGTTAGTGCGTGTGACTCATAATCTCTAGGTCGCAGATTGAATCCGAAACGTAGCCGAATTTGTTCTAACTCGAGGCTTATTTGTACGTTTTCTTTATTGCACTTTATAGAGCTTGTTTTTTGTCCTGTTCTCGCTAGTGTTTGCGAAGCGCTTAGCCTCAGTGTTTGGCGCACGATAAACTTTTCTGAACACTTAATTCACGCCGGCAAATGTTTCACGCTCTGCCTGTTTTATTGTCGAAGAGAAAATGTTCTGTTGACATTCAAGTTAAACAGTAACAGTTGCTACAATATTTTTCAAAATCATCTAGAGGTGGATTTGCTTTCTAGGCCAGGGTGATTTTTCAACTGAACTTTTTAAAATGGTTGCTTCGCCAAAGATGGTTGCTTCGCCTGTGTAGAATTTCAGTTCATATAATGTCACTCAGAAATAATGAAAAATCCTGAAGTTTATTTGTTTAGGCATTTATATGCAATCGCCAATGAAGCATACGTCAATGTGTGTACCAAGAATGAAGACCAAGTAATTGTTGTCAGGTTCGTTCTTTGAACATATACTAATTGAAAATATGAAATAAAAAAACAGCTGAATGTTTCTTGTTATATGGGAGCTTATTTCTTGACAGAGGGTTTGAGTGGCTGAAAATATTCAGCCAACCAAAAATCTTGAAATGTTTCGAGTGTTGCTCATAACTTTTGATGGTTGCGTTCAGAGTTTGAAATACTAAATTTCGGCAATCTCTCCTCGCAGATGGCGAGAATGAAAGAAAGTTAGACTAGCCAATCAGATTTCGGGAATCTTTGTCCCAGTTTTGAAGATTTAAGGTCTTTTGATTGGCTAATTTTTTTCGCGAGGAATTCGCTACCATTTTATGTGGAATGAAAAATTGTGTTTCAGCGGCGAAAGTGGAGCAGGAAAAACAGAGAGCACTAAACTTATTTTGCAATATCTCACAAGTGTCTCATCTCAGAGGAAACTATCCAAAGGAAAACTCATCTCAGATCAGGTGAGAGGAGGGATCTCTTTACATTTTCCCCCTTTTGCAAAAAAAGGGGGAGATTCTTTACTTGGTACAAAATTCTCATATGCTTAAATCATTGATTTATTTATTAATTACAGGGGGGAGGGGAGGGAGGCAGAGGATTTGTTTGCAGGTACCCGATGGGGGGGGGGATAGTCAAAGAGATCCAAGAAGAGGAAATCTAATCGTAATGAAAGCTTCAATTCAGAAATGTATTGGAGACTTCGAATTGAAGCTCAAATAGATTGCAGTTAGAGGTGCCTGAATTAGATTTAATGAATTAGTTCCGCTCAGTTGGTGGAAATTTTTCCAAAGGATCCCCCTTCGCTTCAATTTTTGACAACATCAGTTTTTGCCCAAAGAACGTGATTTTTTTTCTGAAGGTGAACTGGGCTGGGCACCTATATAAACTTCTGTTTTTTTTTTAAGTTTAATTCTCCAAAAACGTTGTTTGTTTCAATAAGTTGTATTTGTTGTAAAAAGTTTTCTATGGTCATGAAAGAGTTTTTTCAGAGCAAAAATTTCAAAAAAGCTGTAATATAAAAGATGAAAAAACCGTCCCCGTCAAAAAAATGCATGCCTCAGGTGCGGTTCTTGGATTTTCTCGAGGGGTGGATTTTGAAAAAACCAAAAGTTTGGATGGATTTTTTTCAGGTCGACTGGATTGATTTTTCGAGCCCTCTTAAAGGACCATAAAAAACTACTATTTTCATAAATTTTCTACGCTGCAGGCAAATTTTTGAAGAAAAAAAAAGCAGGCCAAAGAAAAATCGCGCTCTCCCCCTCCCCCCCCCCCCCCCCCCCCCAAAAAAAAAAACCGCCTTTGCCTGTGGCATTGAGCTGCTTCTCATAATTGAAATGCTTAATTATGATCTGAGAAGTGTTTTTGATTTAGTTGCTTGAAAGCAGTCCCTTGCTGGAGAGTTTTGGAAATGCGAAGACGTTGAGAAACGACAACTCTTCGCGATTCGGAAAATTCATCGAAGTGAAGGTTGCCGAGTAAGTATGCGCTGACTTCGAAATAGTTTCACCAACTGTTAAAAGAATTTAGAGAAAGATTTTACGGCCTCGTATTTCAAATACAAGCCTGTGGTTGATTTTAGTTGATGTTTTCCTATTAAAATCATTAAGAATCAGGTTGCGTAAAAGATAAATTAAAGCGAATATTTTGCTTTTTGTTCCGAAAAACAAACTTTAACTAATCATCCAGGGGTGGATTTGGGGGGGGGGGTGGTGGTGGGCGGACGCCTTCCCCTCAGGGATTCGACCCCCTGCCGACCCAAAGGGTCCCCCTTTGATACTTTTTAAGAAGTCCTTTTTTGGCCGACCGACCCTAAAATTTTTCTAAAGGCGCCTTTGGCGCCAATATATATACTATATACTAACTTTGAGGGGGAGCGCGCGCCAAAAAAACGCTATTCTTTGTCAAAATTTTTCAAAAAGTGCCTAAAAACGGTTTTTTGACTGTTTTTTCAAAAATAACTTTGCCTGCTGTTTCAAATGGACGCATTAACTGAAAATATTCTTTAACAAGTATTCGTCATCCATATTTATGAAGACATGTAGTATGTTATCAAGTGTTATATTATGAAAACACGGCTTTACGGCGCTTAAAACTTGAGAAGATGCTTAAAACATTCGAGCAGCTTCTATTAAATCGGATCATTTAAAGGCCCACTGTTGACAAAATGAGGCTCAAACTATAAAGTATTGAGAATATTTGTGAATATTTTTCTTTTTCAAAGCAATTGTTCTGTGCGATAACTTTTGATATGATTGCTGTTTTTTTTGCATAATTACGCGAAGTTTAATTTAGCCTGTCTTTGATATCATGCTTTGAATCAGTATGGATATATATCAGTTGCGATAAGATTTTTTCACAGGGTACATGTGAACAGAACTTTTTTTCACAACGAAAGTTGGATTTGTTTCAGCAAGTTAATTGTGGGCGCGCAAGTAAAGGAGTACTTGCTGGAGAAGTCGAGGATAGTGTACCAGGCAGGTAATGAGAGGAACTACCACGTGTTCTATGAGATGCTGAGTGGGATGAGTGAACAACAGAAGTCCAAATACGGACTGTCCACTCCAAACTACTTCCATTATCTCAACCAGGTCAATTAATTATTCACGCCAAAATGCATGCCTCTCCCCCTCCCCTTGTCAGGAAGACCATGTAGGGGGTAGGACTGGGGCTACTCATTAAAAATAGACAGTTAATATCATTCAAGTAACGCTTGTTTTATCATCTAATCGTATTTCACAATTCAATTATTTAATGAACTTGTAGCAAAACCCTACCAATCGTCCGATCAATTGTCTCAATTGCTTTTGATAGCTCCTCTGCGATTCGCAGAAAACAAATTGTGTTTTTATTTCGCTGGGCTATATTAGTTTATTTTTCATAACTGAATAACAAGATGTCACAAGTCTGAAGAAGAGTTCTTCTTTTGGACGCGTGTATTTGTTCGCGAGTACAAGGGCGGTTCTAGGGTTTTGAGAGGTGGATAGTGGATTTTAAAAATTTTAAAATTCGTGGATTGCGTGAGTTTCCGAATCCTCCTAATTCATTTGAAACACCTGCTGTGCTTATCTGCCAATTAGGTCAAATTATTTTTTACGTTCGGTAGATTAATAGTAGTTGAAAATGGTAAAATATCTCTGTTATTTTTGAAGTGTGACAGACGGAGTTATTTGGTTGTACGATCATACCATGTTTAGTACTATTCTGAAGCGAAAAGTCAATAAAGTTAAGCGCCTTCTAATTTGAGATTTGTCACGCTCGATCTGAAAACGAATTTTATAACTGACTGATGAAGAATTTTCTTTTTATGGTTAGCTTGCTGATATAAAAGAAGTGAACGTGAAAATGTTTGCATGCTTGCTGAAACACTTCATTGAAAAAGTTTTTTGAAGGCATCGTTGCGTGGTGTTTCGCAAAGTAGGATAGCAAATTCCGGAGTATTTTGCTTGAAAAAATAAATTTACTTTATTTTGTTGAAAATTAGTATAGACGGTTGTTGAAAATTAGTAAAATCGTAGTTCAGTCTCTTATATAGGTGCTGATGATTAAAAAAAGTTCCCTATTGATCCAGTTTTCTCAAACTGGGTTAATTTTAAAAAAAGTGTCAATCATAAATTTCCTTGTTTTCGAAATTCAAAGAGCTTGAAGGGCATCAATTTTTTCCTTGAAATTCCGAAAGTTCATCGGCTCTTTTCCAGCTGTCTGTTGGCTATGTTTGGTACTTTTGGCTGTAATGCCAAATCAAATTATTTCATTTTATGCGCTTTTTGAAAGACGTTTTTTGAAGACACATTAAATTTTAAGCTGGAGATTGTTGGAAGTTAGTAGTATAGTAAAAGTGGCTAGGAAAATGACGACTTTTAACCCCCCCCCCAAAATTCGGTGTGCCGTTGTACTTACCACTTTTAACCCCCAAAGGGGTTAAAGCCCCTACTTTTTCGGGCACGCATGTTTTAAGGGGGGTTAAGATTGGTAATTTTCCAGCCACTTTATGGAAATGGGAATGGAATTAAGTTTTGGTTGGTGCATGTTTTCCCTTCTAAAGTTTGGGGGTATTGGCTTGGTTACATGTAAAATGACGTTATATACCTATTATATGCAACCAAACTATATGGTTTATAGGAAAGCCAAGATTTTGGCAGCGTAGCTTAACTGTTGGCTGCGGTGAACGATTTCCTTCAAAAATGCATGTTTTATTGCTGAATCTCGAAGAAAGGAAAATTCGTCAAGTGCGGCGGCCGCCACCTCTATTTAGGCAAAATGAATGATCTATTTGAACAAAATAAGAATGACTTACCCGAAAGTTGAGCTCGTCGAAGGATTGGTGGTAATATTAATCATAATAATAAACAAATAATAAAGACTAAAAAAATAAAATTTGGTAAAAAAGAAAAAAACCTCTTCTTTATTGGAAGAGGTAAGAATAGATGGAGGCGGCTGGGCTGTCCATCAGCACCAGCAGATCAGAAGCCCTGTAGGCAATCAAACCCCCGAGGGCGACCACGTCCCTGAGTTGCTCAGAGAGGAGTTCCCACTCGGGCGACCCAGGGACGTAAGTCCGGGGAAGGGGTTTCCCCTTGGCCCACTGGCGTGGCTTGACCCAGAGCTCCTTCACCACTAATACCTCAGGATCGGGCCCAGCCTTATATCTGACGTGAATTTCCTCCACAGGAATGTTAATCAGCTCTAAACCGCCGAAAGGGATTTTTACTGTTTCGATATATGATGGCATCTAAAACAAGCAAATTAACATTTTAAATCTCATGAAATTGATCATCAAATAAAAAATTTTGAAACAGTAGGTTTCGGAAGGTGATAATTGTGCTAAACTTTCTCTAAATTTTCCCCGAGTTTAAAATACGCTTATCACGAAAACACAGACAGAATAAATTGTACTTTTAGCTGCGTGTTATTTTCAACCAGTTTAGAAATTTTGAGTTTGATTTGGAAACAAAAACTGGTAAAAACATTTGATTTGTCGAATACTACTTTTGAAATTGAATAGATTTGTCTTCTTGTTTGACTTTGTCACTAGCTGATTGTAAGAAAAAATAAAGCGCAGACTGAAAGCTTATGTTTACTAAAATGTTAAAAATATATGAAAAAGGCTGATGGACTAATTCAATGTATATCACCGAGTTGTAGATATCAGCTGTTGGCATCTAAACGATTACTTTTTTTTCCACTGTTTTGAAATTCAGCAGGCTCAAAGAGTGTTGGAAAAAAAATGAAATTGGAAAAACGTAGAGTTACCTCAACAGACTTGGAAATCATTCATGAGATTTATTTGACTGTGAAAAAAACCTATCCGGAAAATTCTGACCGTCGGAATTACTTTCTGGCTGCATGTTCTCTGTTTTTCTTTTCCAGTGAAAACGAATTAAATTATGACGTAGCTATTAAACTTAGACCATATGGAGGTCTTATTGGCATAGACGACTCTTCCTTGGACAAATATTTAAAAGATTCAAAAATACTACGTCTGCATGCAATTTTACATGACGCTGCAGGTTTTGTTGACGAAGTTTACAACACGGGTCCCACTTACTGCTATATGTTACCCTGGAAGTGTAACAGCAGTCTGATTGGTCATTTGAGCGGTATTACTTTCTGTTTATTCGTCAAACTAACCAGACCAGAACTCTATCAGTTATTAGAATGTTGAGCGAACGATCAGTCGTCATAGATTTGGAAGGATTTCGCTATAAAAAAAGTACCTTTATAGTTAAAGAAATAGCCATTACGACTTCTGAATATAGTGACTCTCTTATTTTTCTACCTCCAGTCCCTTTCAACTCACTACCCAAAGCTGAACAAAAAGCGTACAACTGGTTAACACAATACTTTCACGGAGTTCACTGGGAAAGCGGAGATTATTTATATTTAAACCTAAATCAGATTATTCAAAGTTTTGTTTTGAGAAATCCTAACGCTGTATTTTACGCCAAAGGAAAAGAGAAGGCTGAACTCCTTGCAAAGTACTTGGATCGAGAAGTTGTGAATCTTGATGAATTGGGTTGCCCGAGAATTGAAAACTTACATTTAAAGAATTATCCATCTTGCAATAGACATTTACAACCTAATTATAACTCTAGGAATCACTGTTCCCTGAAAAAAACGAAGGTTTTTTTGATTGGCTGACAAATGAGCAACAACGAAAGACTAGCAAAAGCGGAGACGTACCTATCTCCAAATTTAGTGTTTTTGGCTTGGATGACACCAGAGAGTGATATCAAAGTAACTTTGACCAGAACAGAACAAATCAATTGCCGAGGTCAAGTTGTGCAGCGGAAAGGACAAATTACTCTCTCAGGAGACGAATTGACTATTTTAAGAAATTTTTTCCCAGTGATTGACCAATTCATCTATTTTCAACGACACAAGTTTAGTCAAAATGTTGGCCAAATGGATCTTCAAAGCAGTGACCTACCTGAGGAAGTTCAGAAACTAGTAAAAGGGAACTCTGTAAAGAAAGTTGTATTTCATGCAAAAACTGAATATGTGCCAGCCAATTATGTTGTGGAAATGCTGCATGACAATGACAATGACATAACTAATGACTCTAGAAGTTATACTCGATACGAGATTTTTTATTGTTCTGAAGTATAGATAATACATATTTTATGACAAGAACACATTTTTTCATTCTCATTAAGAAACTAGTGTTATAGATAGAGAGGAGTTAGAAAGAATCAGTTAGAGAGAGAAATATAAATCGAACAACTGAATGACTGAATTAGCTATTGATGAGCCTGATGCTACTATAGTTACAGATTTTGCTTATGATCAAACAAACACTGAACAAAAATCTTGGAAGTTTTGTAATGATGTTACAGTCCCCAGATCAGAAGTAGTTTTTATGTCTCAAATGATTTTAGTTTTCATTTTACTTACTTTTTGCATCTATAAACTTTCTTGGACGCAAATAAGCTGTGAAGAAACGTCAGTTTGGTTTTCAATATTGTCTGGTTTAGTTGGGTACGTGCTACCAAACCCAAGGATATGAATAAAATTATTGATACGTCGACAAGACTGTTTATGGCAGTTGTAGGACCGTCAGGATCCGGAAAAACAGAGTTGATTTTCAAGCTATTGACAGGAAGATCATTTTATCCCAAATTTGAAAGAGTGTTATTTTTTTACAAAGATATTCAACCTGTAGTTATGGACGAGTTAAACGCTCGCAGAATTCATATTGAATTTGTAAAATTTGACGGATTCGATCGTTTGAGAAACATTGAAAACATTCTGTTAGTGTTTGATGACTCATGCGAAGAAATATACAATGATAAAGAATTCGTTAAATTAGCAACAGCAGGAAGACACAGGGGCTTAGATGTTATTTATGTTAAACATAATTTATTCCAACAAAGCCGATGGTCCCGAACTATTGATTTGAACACATCTCACATCATTTTATTCAAATCACCTCGTGATATTCAGCAACTTGATCACCTCGGAAGGCAACTTAATGCACCTAAATTCTTACGTCAATCGTATGAACTGGCTACAAAGGACAGCTTCGGACCTCTATTAATAGATTTAGATCCCCGAACATCAGACTGTCTCAGATACTGTTCAAACATAATAC